GGGGGGGGGGGGGGGGGGGGGGGGGGGGGGGGGGAGAAACCTTACCCTTATGTTAGTCTGGAGTCAATCCTATATTATGTCTATTTCATTATTATTATTGTTGTTGTTGCTGCTGGTCGCACAGCCAGCATGATGTTTATTATTATTATTATTGTTTAAACTTGTAATACACCCAATTCTCAATGACTCTGGGTGACTCACAACAATAAAAGAAATTACAATCAAATCAATAAGACATAAAAGATAAAATATGGCGATAAAGCGAGGGATCTTTTCCTTGCCAAAGGCCTGGGTGAAGAGCCAAGTCTTCACGGTTCTTCTAAAAAACAGCAGAGTAGAGGCCATCCACTGTAACTGTCCTACTCAGTTAGGAGCATTTATTCATCTTTGTTTTTTTTTTTCTGAAGATTTATTCATCATCTTCTTATGATTTGTCTGGTTCATGTTCAATTTTTTTTTAATGTTACTGTTTTTATTCCACTGTTTGTATCACTCTGTATACCACTTTCTGCCTTGATGTACTGAGTAGTATATAAATTGTAGGGTAAGAAATATATTCTAGGAGACATTTGTTCCAATGTTCTGTTGGATGTATCTGTCCCCTACATTAATGAGAATCCCAAAGTCCTCAAATCCAAATCCACAACTTCAAACAACTACCAGTGGGAAATAATGGTTTTGAAGCAAGTAAGTAATGATAAGGAATCAAATGCACGCTACTTTTAAGCCAATGACATTTCAATGAGACATGCAGCAAAGAATTTCCAGTTTTTGGTCATAGTGGGTCCCACAGTATCTAACGGATCAATCTTTTTGAGGTCCTACATATATTTGAAGAGGTTTATAGACAGAACTTACTAGATACTTTGAAATATTCAGATAAAACTGCATCTGCAAATCTAGATAGCTTGGATGACTTAATGCAATATAACTGATTCCCTGGCATCAGGTAAGCCTTTGCAAAAAAATAAACTTGATCCAGTTTATGAATGCTTATGAAGCCAGAATCAAGAATATATGGAACATCCTTCTGCTAGAAGTTAATCTGATATTACTTTTAGCACTGGCTAAAGGTAACTCTTGTTTTGTTGGGATTTTTGAAAAATAAAGAGCCAAAGGTCTATTAATTTATATTTTTCATACAAACCACATTTTTATATTATTAGTTTTTCAAATGATATTGTATGTACTGTATCTACCTTGAGATTCTTTTTTCAAAGAAAGGAGGGCTACATAGTTTTTTAAATTAATACATAGCCAGCTAATCATGTTGTGTTTCATGCCTCCGCCCCCAGTATGTAGCCCCCCAAAAAAGATATTTATAAGCCCTCATGAAATTCAATTTAACAAAATCTCTTTTATCTCTAGAACTGCAAAAACACTAGGGCAACACCACATCCATATGAGGTGGATGATGTGAATGATAATTCTCAAATTCAGAGTTCTACGGTAATACTGGGTTATATTTTAAATTCAAACAGTTAAGTCATTTTTATGGAAATATATCAATATTCCCTTCTCCATTTTCCATCTCTAATTCAATTACAGAAAATATAGACACCAGTAAAGAACTACTAAACATTCTGCAAAAACACTAGGGCAACACCACATCCATATGAGGTGGATGATGTGAATGATAATTCTCAAATTCAGAGTTCTACGGTAATACTGGGTTATATTTTAAATTCAAACAGTTAAGTCATTTTTATGGAAATATATCAATATTCCCTTCTCCATTTTCCATCTCTAATTCAATTACAGAAAATATAGACACCAGTAAAGAACTACTAAACATTCAGTATCTTTGAAGACTACCTCAGATGTATCCAACTTACGGTTGTTTCTGTGATATCAGTCTCTGCTGGAACACCAGGCCCAAACTCCTCATTAGTAGGATTGGTTGGCTTCTCTTCATATTCTTTATATTCATAAAAATCATATTCGCCTAAATCTCCATCTACCACAACTTCAGATTCACTGTGGTCTACGCCTCTGCTTCCATAATCTGTTTCCTCAGTTTTTTTAATCTTTGAATTATAATCCTCTCCCGTTATGTATTCTTCAGTAAATACTTCTTCAACAGGAATGTGCTATTCATATAAGCAGTAGAGGTTTGGGAAACAGGATGAATATGTGGATTACAGTTAGTAAAGCAAAGTAAGCATTTTGCAGATTTTAATATAATGGTTTGCAAAATAAAACAACAGCTGTACAGCTTGGCATCTTTTAACTTGTTTCTGAAAAACTCAGAAGCCTGTTTTTCAGAGTTATTAAAAGATTGCCCCAACACATATGCATATGTGCAATGAAATTAATTCTTTTGTAAATTTATATTTTATTATTTACACAACTATTAAATGAACCCCTAGGAATTGATGTAGTTAGATTATTTAGTGACAAATTCTCATCAGTCCAGAATTTCTTTTACTGAATTTTTCAGGTATGCAATTCATAAGACAGTAGTGTGTGTGTGTTTATTTACCAATTACTTCTAAGTTTTTATGCTTGGCTTCATACATGTTAATGTCAGTAACAGTGTTAAAAATACTTACGGAGTTCTAACAAGATGTCGATTAATATTATGTAACTATCTTATTTTTTTTTGTCCTGAAATGACTGTTGCGAAGTGTTTTAAAGGAGTTTGCAGATATCACCTCAAGCCCTTTCTTGATCTTTGAGAAATCATGTAGTATAAGCATCATGCCAGAAGACTGGAAAAAGGCAAATGTTTTTCCTAAGGCTAGAGTAATTGCAGACCAATCAGCTTGACACTGATACTAGAGAAAACTCTAGAACAGCTTATACAGTCAGTTTGTGAACATTTTTTAAAAAAATAACACATTTCTTGGCAGCAGCCAGCATAGGTTTCTCAAGAAGTCATGCCAAACCTGATCTCCTTTGTTGGATAGAGTGATCAATTTAGTAGACCATGGAAATGTGATGGATCTAGTGCATTTGACTTCAGCAAAAGATTTCATAAAATTTCCATGATATCCCAGTAAAGAAGATGGCAAAATGTGGACTTCCTACAAACTTTGTTACAAATTCTTTAAACAGTTGTACCCAGTGGGTATACACCAGTGGTTACATATCAATCTGGAAGAAAGTGTTGAATAGTATACCACAGGGTGATATAAAGAAAGTGAACCAGGGTTTAGAAAATACTGTTATCAAATTTGCAGTAGACACAAAGAGAGGGGAGATAGCAAACAATTTAGAGGAAAGTAATAAAATTCAGGAGGATCTTGATAAGCCAGAACAGTGGGCAGAAACATACAAGATTACATTCAATAATGACAAACGCAACATCCTTTTTTGGGTAGGAAAAATTAAGTATAGATTGTTAGGTGGAAGCATCTTGGGTAATAGCATATGCAAATGGATCAGGTTGTCTTGATGGATCATCAGCTGATAATGAGACAAAGTGTAATGCAGTTCCAGGGGGGTGGGTAGCAATCCTAGACTGCATCAACAGAAATACAGTTCAAGTTCATGAGAAACCATTGTTCTTCTCTGTTCTGCATTGGTTAGGTTATACTTAGAACACTGTATCTGGTTTGGGGCACTGAATTTTGGACAGGACAATTACAAACTGGGCCAAGTCCAGACAAGACCAACCAAGATGATAAGGTGCCTGAAGGTAAAAACCTGTATGGAACAGTTGGAGGAGCTGGGCAAGTTTACTCTGGAAAAGCAAAAGCTGCAGGGAGACATGATAGCTGTCTTCAAGTATCTGAAGTGTTGCCATGTGAAAATAGGGCACAATTGTTCAGAGTTGTTCCAGAAGACAGGACAATAAATGATGAATTTAAGTTACAAGGAAGTGAATTTTAGCTGGCAGTAAGAAAAAAAAATGTAATGGTAAGAGTTGTTCAAAATGGAATAGACTGCTCTAAGATGCAGTGGCCTCTTCTTTACTGGAGGTCTTTAAACAGAAACCGAATGGCCATCTGTTAGGGAAGCTGTAATAGTGGATTCCTGTACTAGACAGACTTGGACTAGGTGATCTACAATGTCCCTTCCAACCTTTTATTCTATGAATCTACAATATGATATTTAAAAAAAAAAATCCATGCACATTTAAAGCAGAACAGTAAAAGCTGTTTTTTTTTTTATCAGTATGCAGTATTTTGCAAAATCTTACTTATCTAAGTTCAATTTTATATCCTTAATAAAAGATGGTTCAGCATTGATTCAACATAAAAAGCTGCTACCACGGAAGATAACAGCTATGAAAGTTCTGACTGAGAGCTGTGTCAAACCAAGCATTAAACTGTTAAGCACTAGCATTAGTTAAATAGCGTTTTCTTCAATATGCACAGAAACTAGCTTTAGAATAAGACAATCAAGCTCCAAAATAAATGTATCTGCTTTAGCACAATACAAAACCTTTAGAAATTATTGCTTAAAATCTCATTTTTCAGCATGGCAATATTTATGAATCACAGTATCCGCGTTCATAAATATTAGCTGATTATGCACACTCAGAAATGAGCAGATATCAGCAACAGAGAGTCAAGGATGATTTTCAATAAAGCTTTTGATTCATAGTCTAAAGAAAGATACATTTAGATCTCAGTGTATGTCTTTCAAATACAACTAGATTGTAAACTCTAGAGGTATAGAAACACATATCCCTAAGCAGTAAATGAGAACTGTACTTGACAAAAGCTTCTATGTATGGATTCCCATCCCAAACTGGGAACCATGGGAACACAGCAGAGGATATACAGATGCAAATCCTTATGCTGTTGTACATCTAGATATGATAGATACACCTAATTAATCTCATTCAATATTTGATGTGAATGAGATTGCAATATAGATGTGAACAAATTAACCTTCTTGTGCATAGCTAAATGTCTATTCTCCAGGCTCCAGTCGTCATTCACTCACTACGTTTTTCTCTCTTAAACAGAGATCTCATTTGGAACACTTCTCTATAGTGACCACTGAAAAAAACTAATACTTCCTTTCATGCCACAGAAATACGAAGGTGAGCAATGTCTTACATCATGCGCAGTTATCCTTGAGCTGTGCCTGGCCATTACTGAATGTTTTACTTGACATCCAAAAATGCATATGACTGCATTCCTACAGAAAATAGTTTTGCAATCTCTTGAACTCATTTCTCAGGTAAAGACTGATTGTGACAATGAGATCCCACAAAACTGGATCTCAGATACATAACACACGTGACTTTAGTCCTTAGCTGTTCTCTTAAATAACATTAACCAAAAATGACAGTAATATTTTTCACTGATGAAAATCGTTGAAATAGCCATGCCTTTATATTTCTCTATTCCTCATTACCTCATTTGGTCCAGTTGTTTGACTAGGAGTCGCAGTCTGGTAAGTTTCAGTTCCATAGTCAGTTTCAGCCACATTATACTCATGATATTCATCAACAATGTTCGCCTAATATGAAAGAGAAAGTACAAAGTTAACAGGCAAGGAAAAAGGCAAACACTTAAGAGGAATCTCTGTTTAACTAGATTACGATATTAGCCAGTGGTGTTTTCATGTACTAAGGGTTAGAGCTACTTGTTTTCATCATCAGAGATCTTCCAGGCTTAGTCTAGGAGAGATCTTGATTATTTCTGAGCTACCTTTACCCCTATTTTGCCTTTTGCTGCAGCTTGAGACCTTTTCTTCTTCTTGGATGACAGTGTTTCAGATTTTTTGAATGTGAACTTTTGGGGGTTGTTCTTTGAGCTAGCGATCACTGTCTTCTTCTTCTTTGGGGCTTTGTTCTTTTTCTGAAAAAGGGGGTGAAAGATGGAATGGGAGAACATAAATAAATGGGGAATAGCAGCAAGACATGAAAGATAGCAGGATTAGCAAAGGACAACAAATAATGATTTCCTGTCAATCATCCTGGCTGCCACTGTTGAATTAAAATGAGTTTCATGAACAAACAGGAAAGGAAAGAGAAGAAAGGGAGCTTGATTAACATAAGACACCACGTGACAAAACCATAAGACAGACAAGGACGATGGACATCAGACAATAAACACACCACGTGCTGTTACCTCAGTGTATGCTACAGTCTCGTCGTATAATGGGGGTCCCTCTGTTACAGTTTCAAGGTCTTTATAATCTTTATAATCTGGATCCCCATAGTCATAGTCATATTCGATTAAATCTTCAGTTGCATACTAAATCGCAAAAGGAAAAATACCAGGCATTGTTGGGTTAGTGGCAGCAGGCTATATTAGCAATCCTGGAAAGCTCTTTCTTAAGTTTATCTTCTGTAGTTAGAAATAGAAGTTTCACAAATTAAGCTATCAGATATATAGTAGTAAGATTTTTTTCCCTAAAGGATTAAAACAAACACAAATTGAATGAAAAAAGGGCAAAAATGTGAGGTTTTTTTCTTTACTAAAACTTGATTCATGATTAGCATTTTATTATAAGTGTTACATGGAGTGCCTTTATATTAAATGTATGGAAAAATTGTGTTGCTTAATGTTATTATTAAGCTAAGAAGTTCTCCTAACTAAACATCAAAATACAATAGCGCCTCAAACTATCCTCAGTTTGTGTTGGGTCACCTAGCTGGCTATATTCCTAAGGTGGGACTAGACTACTATTATAAGGAGAGCTAGTTTATTTTAGTGGTTAGGGCATCAGGCTAGAAACTGGGAGATTGTTGAGTTCCAGTACTGCCACAGGCACAAAACCAACTGAGTGTCCTTGGGCCAGCCATTCTCTCTTAGCCCTAGGAAGCAGGCAATGGCAAACCACTTCTGAAATCTTGCCAAGAAAGCTGCAGGGACTTGTCCAGGCAGTCACCAGGAGTCAACACTGACTCGAAGGGACCAAAAAAAGCTATATGAGAAGAAATACAACTGAAATGTGATATAAGTCATTTTCTGGCATTAGGGGCTGTCCCTTTCATTCTGACCTCCGTGTGTTATTGAGTAAGTTCTAAAGAGACACTAAACCCATTCCATGCTGATCTGTGTGATTCAAAATGCCATCCTGTTAAATTCAGAGGCTTAAACCATTACTGTTCTGAGTAAAAAAGGGAGGCAATAGGGCAGCAGATGTGAACTGCATGTAATTCAAGGATACAGCATAAAAGCAAAGCATGGAAAGTGTAATTTAGTCATGGACCTGAATCCATGTTTTTAACCCCACTTATTCAGGCTTTTGTTACTCTCAATGCTTGATCTAATGACACCCATCCACAGAATGTGGATTCCCTCCCAATTAACATTGTCCAGGCTAACAGACCATAACAGGAGGAACGGTGAATTGAGTCCTTAAACCAACTGCACCTTTTTGAAAACCAACAAATGAAATCAGTCAACCCTAAATAAATTCAGAAAGGGAATAATAAGACACAGTTTTAGAAGTTTCAAAATCAAATTTAAAAATTCCAAGAAGATATTTTTAAACCATGTATACTTCCCTGAATTTGACTCCCCCCCCCCTTAGCTGAGTTTCTGAAAGCTCTATTGACAAACAACTAACAGATTGTGGCCACAAAGGAATGTAACACCTCAATATCTTTCTTCTCTAACTAGTCAGCCAAGGAAGGTCAATTACATGCATTCATGTGCTTATTTGGGCAAACAAACAAAAATGAATGAAAATCTGTCACTAACAAAAACTTCACTGAATTCAGTATAATTATTTTATGAAGCAGGTAAGGGAAAAAGAGAGATGGAGAACATCCCAATGTTTAGATTTACATATTCTAAGGTACCCAGTTGAATTATACAAGTTTTCAACAAATCAACTCAGTTTTTGACCAGACTAGTTGAAAGTTACATGTGTTTAAATTCCCAGTATAAAATTATTTTAGAGACAAACACCTAAGAGGTGGCATATCTTTAAGACAAGGAAGAAATCACTGAATAATCCATCTCTAGGGACGCTAGTGATCAAGTAGGTCAATGTATGCACACCATCTTCTTCAAAGTATCTCCCTTAGCTAAGGCAACTCACCAACTATTTCAGACCAGTCTAAGAGGGTTTTTAAAAATAAATAATAGGACCCATCAACCCACATATAGCCAACTAGTCATGAGGAACTTCAATAGCAGACTATCCCTAGGGAGCATAAATTTTATCAGTCAAAAAAGGTAGAAGAATGTTAGTTATGTTCCTATGACAGCTACACAGGAATCTAAAGATACTGTACTTATTTTGTGTCCCACCTAGAATTTGATTTAAAAAATGGGGAATGCCGTGTACACGGAGGCCATACATTATGGATTAATGAGTTATTAGTGGTGAATCACAAGTTGTGCAGGTTTCCTCCCTAAGTATGAAGGGACTAGATACTGTAGGAAGCTGTCATTATATTACAGCAGTCAGCTTTGCCACACAAGTCAATATTCTTGTCTTCTCTGCAGCAGCAGTCCAGGCTTCCAGACAAGTCCTTCCCAGTGCATGCCGCCTCCTCCTTTTAACTGGAGATGCCAGGTACGGAACCTTGAAACTTCTCCATGCAAAGCAAGTGCTTTATAACTGATCTACTGTACAATAAAGGAGTTATTATTTCTTTCTAGCACTCAGATCTGCAATTAGTCAGCATTTTTAAAAGGACTACCTAAGCTTAATATTATTTCTATTAACAATGAGAGGATTTGTCTGAGGGCAAAATTAGCAACTGCTCCAGACTGTGCCAAGTTGGGGGCTAATAAAATGGCTAAAGACAGGTTAGAAACAGTTCTTTGGAGACCACAAAACAGAAACATTGACTGAATCAAAAAAATCTGTGCCAAGTATGCTGATTTAAACTACACACAGAGAGACACAGTAAGTAAATTGATATTCATTCTAAGACTTATCAGAGGCACATTTTGAAAAACCATTCATAAATGACAGCCAGGAAGATATATATAAAAAGAAAAGATATTTAGAAGGCTGACTTGCATCACACACAATCAATTGAAAAATATTTGTGCTCTTCTAGGACATTCTGTTTAATATTTTAACAAAATATCACTTTTAAAAAGGCATCATTATGTTTGTTCATTATGTTCATTACATAGACCTATAAAGACTTTGTGAAATGTAGTGTAACTTTCCTTCTCTCTCATGTTTTTCCTAAATTTGTGGGCTATCACTGATAATTTTTTGTAATAGAGCCAAGAATTCAGTGAACCAGTACACTGTAATAAATGTACATTTTTTCCTTTCACTTAGCTTTGTCAATCCAGCTAAAGACTCTAGGCAGATTATTTTACTAACTAGATGCCCAATCTAGCAGTCTGCTAATTTTGAGCAATCATTACTGCAGTTGGATGACCTGGGCATTACAGAAATCTTCTTGATATAATATCCGCTATACAGCTGAATAGCTTTCCTTCCTGAGACAACTTTTGGGCTGGTAATAGATCATCATTTTACATCCACCATGACATCCATGGACCGTTCCAATTAATCTGGCTTTGCCATATGTAACTTTAGAACAAAACATTATGGCAATACATTCCTATCTCATGTTTAACATGTAATATGTGCATATATCACTTGGGCCTACGAAACCACCTTATACAGAATCAAATTATTAGTCCGCATACCTAATGTAATATCATCTCTTTGACTGGAAGTGATATTTTAGGATCTTTAGAATGTATTCCTTTCAATTGATGATTGGACATTTAGAGGCAAATAAAGAATCTGTCACCAAGTAATATTTCTTCTCTAAATCTTGGGCCATACATGGAATTCATTCACATCATTTTCTGAATTCATTTTGTGTGATGTTGGCAATAATATTTCAGTATAAAATAAGCATTGTGTCTTCTTACTTAGTTTATTTGCAAGTTGGATTAACAGGGTTGGGGACCATTTGTTATTTATCTGTTCAATTTTAAGTCACACATTCCTGCAGCAGTTGGATATCTTCTTTTTCAGCATAGATTTTCTGATAGTCCAAATGGCTGATGGAGATTGCTAAGCGTTCAGAGCAGTCTGCTTAGCTTGATATACCAAGAGCACCAAGATACGCCTTCATTCAGATGGAGAAATAATATTTCTTTTCCGGGAGTTGAGATTCCTTTCCTTTTAGGCAGTAACATACACCCAAACAAATTTGGAGGACCTAATGCTTCAGAAGACTGAAGCTAAAAATGGGTGGATTTAAATTTCTTGGAAGAAAGATAGGCAGGCCTCCCTCCTAAAAATCTCTCTCACATACACTCTCTACCTCTTAATTCTCTGATAACAGTTGCTGAAAAGAAAAGCTTAAACAGGCAATTTGTGTTGGAATTTCTAAACCATGAGACAGTCTGGGGATTAATTCTGGAGTCTATCCTGGCTAGCTGCTTCATTCTTAATCATTTTTTCGCATCCTGGGAAAGGCAGAGAAACAGCAGGAGCATAGCCAAGGATCATGAAGTCTCATGTCTGATCACAGATTATACTGACCTTATAAAGTTATATACATACTATAAGGCCTTGTAGTTGAAATGACTACTTTCTGAACTTGTACCATTTCAGATTGCAGTGATTGCTCATGTGACTGAATTGTCCTCTGTACCTAAACTAGAATAACGTTAATATAATTATATGCATGCAAAAGTAGATTTCAGGAGAAAATAGTATCTTTCTACACAGAAAAAAATATTTTATTTATTTGCCTAGAGGAACATTAACCCAAGTCAGCCCACCCTTTCTGTACTGAATTGGTACAGCCCAGAAGAAACTTCATCATCTCATTTGCCAAATGTGAAAAATGGGCCTGAACTGTGGCCAAGTTTATGAAAGTGTGAGAGCAAAAATACTGAACACATTACTGTTGATTTGATTTAATGTACATCCTACTATCTCATGAGAACTAGAGTATTATGAACAATCGAGATATATTATACATTCATCCTACATTAAGGATGAAATTATATACCATAATCTCAATCATAAATTTCACTTGGAAACCATTTTTAATGTTGCCCAAAGAGATTTTCTTTCACTAGTTTTTCATTTTTCTTTTCTTTCACTAGTTTCAGTGCCTATTTAGCCATAAAGCAAATAAGAAAAGGGCCATTTTTGAAGATACTCTTTGGAGTAGCTATTCGGGGTAGTGAACCTAATCTAATTTAAAGACCAAATTGTGCCACACACATACCCATGGGGTTAGAGGGAAAGGCTCTGGCTTGGAAGGGGGCAGGAGAAATCCTCCTATCTCCAATCAGATATT